CCCCCCCCCTCCCCCAAATCACAGGGGGAAGCCTGGACTCGAGGAGCATCCTTTACCCAACATCCCGCGCGAAATTTCCCAGCAAGCTTAGCGAAAGGCGCTTTAAAAAAAGCAAAGAAAAGGCTTTTGCTGTGAACCGCCCGCGGTCGGAATATTCGCGTAGGCCGCAGGCTCCGATTTACCTCACCGGCGCGCGCGCGCCCCCCGTCGGCTGCCCTACCCTCCCCGGTCTCCGAGGACACCGCTTCCCGCCGGCGTTCCCAATCCGATTTCCCCGGGTGGGACCTCCAGTCCGGGCTCCCGCCTTTCCTTTCACCGCCCCACAAATCCGCGCTACGCGGCCTTCTCCCCTCCCTCGGCCTCCGCCTCCTACCTGCGTCATCGCGCAGCATCCGCCCCTCCCCTTCTCGCGCGGGGAAGGGGCGGAGCCGCCCTCTCGCTCTCCTCCCATTGGGCACGTCACTCGCGAGAGGCTTCCACGTCCCGCTTCCTTAGATGGCTGGGGGGGGGGGAGGCGTTCGTTGCTTCAGTGTCGCTCCTCCTCCCCCACCCCACCCCCGGCCGCGAGAGGAAGGCGTGCGAGAGACGCTCGCAACCTCGGGCTCTCATTGGCTTTCCCAGCGGCGCGTGGGCGGTAGCTTTAGTGACGTCACAACTCTCTCTCTCTCTCTCTCTCTCGGCTGCTGGAGTTGCCTCGCAAAAAGAAGAGGTGGAAAGCGGCTTCTTCGGGGGAATTTAATAAAAGCTGACTGGCTGAGAAATGGGGACTCGGTCCCGCCCCTAGCGCCTCCTTTCCTCCAATCGCCTTTTGAGGCAGGCAATCATCCGCGAATGGAAATAGAAGGCGGGTGAAGCCGTCCGCGCTTGCCTTCCTATTAGTGCAAAAAAAAAGGGGGCGGTCATTCAGGAGAGAGGCCTGATTAGACAACCGTGGTGTCACTCCACCCCCGAGGGCAGCATAAGGGAAGGCGAAGGAAAGCAACATGGAGAAGGGGGAGGAGGGTGAGTCCGTGAGGGAAGGCGTCAAGTTGGGGGGGGGGGGGTTGTTCAATGAGAGAACTTCAACAGGTGAAGTTCTGCCTCATCGGAACCGGGCGGTGAGTGGAACGGGGGTCGTCGCCCCTCAGTCGGGAAGGGTGGTTTCCCGTTTCACACGACAAGCTGTGCGACTCGTCCTCACGTGAAGGCAAACATGCGGGTCAGGCCTCAATTGGGGCCGGTTGGGTTCGAACCCGGACTGTGGTCGCCAGGGGTTGGGATAAAGATATTGCCTTCTCTGCTTTACGTATACATATTGATAATTATATATATATAATATATATATAATATAATTGATAATTATATATATACATATTGATAATTATATATATAATATTGATAATTATATATATACATATAATTATATATATACATATAATTATATATATAATATATAATATAATTGATAATTATATATATACATATTGATAATTATACACACACACATATATATTTATATGTGTCATCTTTACTTTTTTCTCCTGATGGTCATATAATATATGTGGGTATATACCTAATTTTGTATTTATTTAGTTTATTTAGTTTATTTATTTAGTTTTTGGTACTGTATATTAGAGGGAGAGACCCTTTGAGGGCTGTAGGCAACGAAATTTCATTTTAATGTAGGCCAATCAAAGTGGCAATAAAGTTATTTTAAGTCCAGGCTAAACTCTAAGGGGTTTAATGTGGTCGTGATTATTTGGAGTTTAATGCTTTTATTTATGTTGGCCACTTAAAGGCTTTAGAGCAGAGATTACAAGAGAATAAGTAAGTACAGGCAGTCCTCGGCCCTACCACAACAATTGAGCCCAAATTTTTTTATCTTGCTAAGTAAAACATTTGTTAAGTGAGTTTTGCCCCGTTTTACGACTTTTCCTGCCACAGTTGTTGAGTGGATCACTGAAGCTGTTAAGTTAGTAAGACGGTTGTTAAGTGAATCTGGCTCCCAATCCATGGACTTTGCTTGTCAGAAGGTCGCAAAAGGGGATTGTATGACCCCGGGACACTGCAACTGTCATAAATATGAACCAAGTTGCCAAGCCTCTGAATTTTGGTCACGTGACCATGGGGATACTGCAATTGGTCATAAGTGAAAAACGGTCATAAGTCACTTCGGTGCTGCTATAACTTTGAAAGGTCGCTAAATGAACTACTGTAAGTCGAGGACTAACTATTGCATAGGGCTATGTTTTCCAATCTTGGCAATTTTTAAGATGTGACGGTGTTGAAGCCCATACATTTTCAAGTTGCCAAAGTTAAAAACATTTAAAGCAATGATATTTAAAAACTTGAAAGTTTAAAAACAAAGTTGCCAAGCGTAAAAATATGAGTACATTAAAAATATTGGCACATTAAAAACATCTGTAGTAAAAAAAAATGGATATAGCACATTACACAGCCCTTGTGTTTCGTTGAGTGGAGATTACATGTTACATACATGAACTTAGTTCAGCCCTTTTGCCTTTATTCCAGATTTAGACCTTTTTCTTTCTTTTTTGGGTTGCTGTGGTACACTTACACAAATCACTGTAATCAACCTGTCTGCCCTTCCTTCCCATTAGTATTGTGCTCTATCACAATATCAAATTGTCTTTGTATGAGTCTCAGTGTGAAATTACAACCAACCACATGGCAATCCAGTTGGACAGAGATGACTGGGAGAAAATGAAATTGAAGTGGGAAGCTCAATTATATTTTTTAAAACCTGTTCTGAACTCATTTGTAATACCCATGGCACCTGCTTAAACATGAGATTCCTGGGATATAAGGAGGCAAACCTCTACCATTTTTACTGTGAAACAAAAAAAAAAAGTCGTTTTTTAAGCAGAGTTATTTTGAATAGATAGGTTTCTCTGATCAGGTAACTGTGTGATGTATTAGAACTGCTGGGCATTGTAAGTCTAATGGCCAACTGAGAAATTAAATCTGGTCTCACCGAATTCCAGAACTGTCATTGCTCAAATCCATTATGCCAACAGTGACATAGCAAATGTGAGTATATTTAATTAAATTGAAACCCATGTGATTAATTGGAGTGGAAGCAAGAGAGAATCAGGAGAGAGACCAGATGGCATAAGCATTTAAAGCACAGATGTCATGCATTTATTTCTGAATTTCAGTTATAGCCTTAAGCTAGTCAGCTGTTCCGGCAATAATTCCTTATCTGAGATTTTCCCCGTATAGAACTACATGAGAAATAGAATTCATTAAAGGCATAATGTAAATGAAATTAAAATGCATGTTTTTATTTTAATTATTCATTAGACTCCACAGTTCAACCCCGAGTTACAAATATTCTCTATTAGTATTCATTATAACATTTCATGCCTAATATTTTGCTTAAATGTTTACATTGTTTATTTACCCATCAGTCTGGATGTGGTCCATCTGGATTTCCAGATTGTGCTAGTGGCATTTGGTAACAATTTCAGCAATGGGATAATGGAGCATTTTTCTAGCTGGTGATGTTGAGTTATGGTGCTGATGGGTCCCAAACTCTTAATACCACCAAGAAATATATAATTTAAAAAGTCTGAAAAAAATTCTCCACTTCCCTTTAGTGATTCTACCACCCCACTCCAACAGAAATTGCCCCGTCTCTGAATAGTGTATAAGTTGACTAAGTCTTTGAATGAACACTGGGATCAAAATATGATAAGTCAATGTGCTGTTCATATCATATTAATACAGTAGTCCTTGACTTATGAGCACAATAGGGACTGAAAAATTTATGGTCATTAAGTGAGGCACCATGTGATTGCATCGATTTTTATCCTTTTGCCATGGTTGTTAAGTGATCATGATTTGCAACCTCCTGTCAACTTCTCCATTAATTTGCTTATCAAAAGCCAGTTGGGAAGGTCATAATCACATGAGAATGGTTGTAAAACCAGGAATCTGTCATAAGTTACTTTTTTCAGCCCTGTTGTAACTTCACTAAAACAATGGTCATAAGTCAGGGGTGTCTTGTACTGTCAGAGATATCCTAGCTAACCTTTGCTGTTGAACATTGTTTTTTCTGTTCCCACTTCTTGTTTCCCTATTGACAACCAAGTCCTAATCGAGGCATTCTCTTTGGGTGACAATGCATCCATTTTAAAAGAGAATGACAGAATGGGAAAGCTGACCTTTTGTCCCAATGAATTTAGTAGTAGAAAAAGAGAGGTAAATTATCGCAACATTACTTACCTTCTGTGGATTTTCTGATGAGTTCCGCCAATGTCATGGAAGGTTCCATTTCCAGGCAGATGTCCTGCTGTCCCACTCAGTATCTTTGTCCCCCACCAGGGTTTCAGGAGTCCTGTTTGCTAGGTTTCATTTTCTTAATGCATTTTGGGGGTGTTCAAAATTCTTTGTCCAGGAGACGGTTTCTTCTTCTTATAATGCAGCTGAGTAACTTATTATGATGTTCTTCAGCCTAGCTGTGTTAAATTGCAGGAAATTCCTGGGTGACTCAACATCTACATACTTATTCACCTTTTCCTTCTCTCTGATCACACATTAGGGATGTTTACATTTTGGGACAGCCTTTATTATAAGGCCCAATGACTGAGAAGCCATGGAATTCTAATCAACATGTTGTCTTGGATCTTAGCTTCCCCTAGATATAGGAAGTGTTGCAAATATTACCACCGGTTACAGCTATTAAATAAGAGAGAACTGTGAATATGGGATGGCAGAGGAGTTGGGCATGCTGGTTCTAAATTGTAAATTTATGAAACTTGATTTTAAACATGCCAGTGAAGGCAGACATCATTAAGTTACTTTCATTCTTCCAATACGCGATGACTTTTCCTCTGAAATGTTATTCAGAAATTCATTCCAGCTCAATCAGTAATACAGGTAGTCCTCGACTTGCAGCAGTTCATTTTTTGACGATTTGAAGTTACGCTGGCACTAGAAAAAGTGACTTACGACCATTTTTCACCCAACCACTGCAGCCTCCCCATGGTCACATGATCAAAACCCATATGCTTGGCAACTGACATATTTATGATGGTTGCAGTGTCTTGGGGTCATGGGATCCCCTTTTGCAACCTTCTGACAAGCAAAGTCAAAGAGGAAGATTTACTTAACTGCAGTGATTGACTTAACAATTCACTTAATGCCTGTCTTGCATAGCAGCAGAAATAATCAAGTCATAATCAAGGACTACCTGTGCATATTTCAAATCAATAATGGTGGTCTGAATCAAAATCAAACTATCTGAATTTTGTTCCTACTGAAATCAGTGAAGTACCATAAGTTGCTTGTGACGTAATAGCCACCGATTTCGGTGTGAACAAAATCTAAATACTTGAATTTGGATCCAAACAATCAGCTGGGTTTATTCTTGCTCTACCAGGTCAGGCCCTGAGGCAGCATTCAACAGCTTTGTAAAAATGGTTTCAGCTTCGATTACATTCTGCAAACCTAATTTTTCTGCTGAGTTTATGATCCAGTCGATCATACAGACTCTGAAAATGGGTTAATGCAGTATCCTGTTAAGCTTGTTGGCTATCTACTTGTGCTTAGAATTGTGAGGTTTATCTTTTTGCTTTTTTCCTAGCTAATCTGTTTATTATTATTTTTCTAATCTTGCTTATAACACTTGGAATACATAGAAGCAGGAAATACAGAGCGGGCATAATTTTAAGAGAACAGTTGCTCTGTTCTCTGATCTTATTCCAAGGAATTGACTTCATTTCATTTGACCTTGGGTGACATAGTCAAAACATACAAGCTTTGATGAAAATGCAGCCCATACAGAGTGTGTCTGGCTGATAAATCAGAGAATTAAATGTTTTTGTTAGTTATACAGTCTCTCTAATCTAAAAATTTACATTCTTTGATTGTTTTCCCAGTTTGATACAATCCAGATGTGTACTTCTCAGAATTTCCTAGCCAGCAAAGCCATGTGGATGGGAAATTCTGGGAATTGCACACCCAAACCTGGAGGTTGCCATGTAGGGTAAGGTTGTACATCAACCTAATTTCTGGCTGACCTTTCCGTTGTTGGCCAACAATAAGGCTTGTGAGTTTACAGTCAGAACTATTCATTAGGGTATGCAGGAAAAGGTGATTCAGAGCATACGCATATGCTTACATCACACCAATAGGTATCTCCTTAGAGACGTTGCATCTTTTCTTAGACTTAGAGAAAGTCAGAAAAAAGGTGTATTTGGTTGCTTGCAGGATGCCCTCACATATTAGATCGCCTTTCCAGTTTGGTGGCCCACAGATGTATGACAACTTCTACCGTATTTTTCATGCAGGAATGATGGGAATTGTAGTCCACAGTGCAAGTTTTGATTTGTTTGAGGAAGGTGGTTGTATAGTTATATTCGTTCAGATTAAACTGTAACTTTTCTTTGGCTTTGACTTAGTGCAGTGTATGATCCAGCCAGTTGTAGCTTAGTCAAACCACAATTAACCATGTAGGTTAGTGTGGGATGTGATTCCATTCTTGACTTCCTGTCACTTCTACAGCCTCGTCTTTACAAAAGAGGTTTGTTGGTTTTGTGGCAATTAAATAATAAAAAAAAAGTTTCTGGCTTCTTTGGGAAATATAAAAGCAGCCATATCTACTGTATGGCTTGTAAATATTTCCCTGCTGGATGTTTGGGAGGAAAAAAAGAGCTGCTTCCTGAATTATGGAAGTTTGTGTTTTATGCCTCATGAGTCTGCAGCGTGGCTCTCTTAGGCTTCATCCCTTTTGAAATATCCTAGGGACCCAAACGCTGCCATTACGAAGAGCATTTTATAGCCCTTTCCACAGTGGAAACTCTATTAGCTTTTAGTGGCTAAAGCAGCCAAGAGTTTTGTGCCCTTGTAATGATAAGTACATTTGCTTTTGGAAGTTCTTCTGGGTACACTAGACCCTTGGTTGATTCTGCATAAGCACAATCCTCCTGCTTCTTTTCCTTTTAATTTGGCCTGCATAAGGACAAGACCTTAAGTTTATTTTCCCCCAGAGACACCTTGAATCGGGGCACAATTTGGCCAACTCAAACAATTACAGGAATTTGCGGAATGCCATTCCAGTCGCCATCAGAATTGGAAGGAAGGCTTGGGTTTGTCTTTAATTCTGCAAACCCCTGTCGCTCCTCATCTCTTATTCTTCCTTTTTTTGTCTATGTCTGTCAGACATCCCTTCAATTGTCTCTGCTTACTTTCTCTTGTTCCTGGCAGAACGAGGCAACTTGGCTGGGGTCCAGCACATAATCCTGGTGCTGTCAGGGAAAGGGGGTGTTGGAAAGAGCACCATCTCCACTGAACTGGCTTTGGCTTTCAAACATGCTGGGAAAAAGGTATGTGCCATTTCAAGACAGTACAGTAACAAAGTTAAAGCAGCCCCCCCCCCCCACCTCAATCACCACCGCACACAAACCTTGGGGCTTCCAGATTTAGCCACGCTGCCTGAGAAATTCAGCCGTTGGGGTTCTCTACTAAGAAAATTATTTCTTCATTACAACGATGATTGATTATAATTCCATTGGCAGGCAGTGTTTTGCTCTGAATTTCTAATGATTTGAAAGAGGCTTTTTTTTGGGGGGGGGGGAGTCAGAAATAGAGAAATGAGGGCTGTAGGTTGCCCACCCAGCCCTATGATGTAAGCCATGTAAGCCTGTCCAAACTTGGCAACTTTTAAGACTTATGAACTTCCAACTCCCAGAATCCCTCAGCGTGGCTGGCTGAGGAATTCTGGGAGTTTACTGAATAACAATAACAGAGATGGAAGAGACCTTGGAGGTCTTCTAGTCCAACCCCCTGCCTAGGCAGGAAACCCTACACTGCTTCAAACAAATGGTTATCCAACATCTTTTTAAAAATCTCCGGTGTTGCAGCATTCACAATCTCTACAGGCAATCCACTGATTAATTGTTCTAACTGTCAGGAAATTAGTTCTAGGTTGCTTCTCTCCTTGATTAGTTTCCACCCATTGCTTCTTTGTCCTGCCCCCAGTTAAAGAATAGCTTGACCCCCTCTTCCTTGTGACAGCCCCTCACAATTAGGACCAAAATGTTTGTTGTTAAACAAGGCAATTGTTAAGCGAGTCATGCCCGATTTTATGACTTGTTTGCCCTGGATGTTAAATGAATCACTAAGCTTGTTACGTGAACCAGTTGAAGTAAGTTTGGAGACCCCTGTTGTAGGCTATATTGCAAATTAGGGATTTCTGGCTGAAACTTGGAGATCTACAGATCTCTTTGATAGTGCTGTACTTATTAGACCAAGGCTGTGATTTGATACCCACTTGCTTCCCTGTGTTCTGCTATGAGTACCACAGCTGGCTGGATAGGGACACGGAAGGTTTCCAACATCCAACTCAGGAAGCTTTCTTTCCTGTTGGACTGAAAGCGGCTTAAGGAAGCGGATGGCATGATTCATCTAGCTCTTGCAGAGTCATCTCCCTCAAAGGCATGGTGGATACTGTAAGGCATTAAAGCTGCACTAGGTCCTGGTTGTTGTTTTTTTCTCCCCTATAGAGATCATGCTGATTCAATCGGCCGAAATAAGTGGCATGGTTTCCTGCTGTTCTTAAGTGGAAAACATGCACAGCCTCTGTGATAGGTCCTAAAATAAGCCTGGCATCATGTAGAAAAACGGACTCTGAACTCTCCAGAACCCCAGTAAAAGGAAAATCTCTGTCCTGCCTACTTCAGTCCTTAGCTTCTAAGGAAATGCAACGAACAAAATGTTAAAAAAAACGTATATTTATGTAGCTACTTACCAAGCACATCTAAATTATATTAAAGTAACCAAAATATCTTTACAATCCCTAAGGCATGTCAGAAATTTTGAACACCCCTGATGTTTGACATGTCCTAGACATACAGCCTCTGAGAGATAGATTATCACATCCAATAGCAATAACACTTAAACTTATATACCGCTTTATAGTGCTTTCCAGCCCTCTCTAAGTGGTTGACAGAGTCCGCCTCTTGCCCCCAACAATCTGGCTCCTCATTTTACCCACCTCGGAAGGATGGAAGGATGAGTCAACCTTGAGCCTGATGGGATCCGATCTGCCAAATTGCAGGCAGCCAGCTGTCAGCAGAAGTAGTTTGCAGTATTGCACTCTAACCACTGCACCACCAATGCAAGTCAAAGCAGGCAGGGAGCAGTGGGATGTAGGGGTTTGGGTTTTTATTTTATTTTATATTGGCTGTACTTGTTGGGATTGATGGCAGCTGGTTTAATATTGGAAGGACTCTAGGTTTGCCAGCTATTGTATAGAGGAGGAAAAAAGGTAAACATTGTGTCAGGAGATCTGTGAAACGCAAGAGGTGTCCGTGATAAGGTTATTTGCTCTACCTTTTGAGCTTTGCATAGACAGGGTGTACCTTTTGACCCAACTGTTTCACAGCTCCCACTCAGGCCACCTGAGAAGAGCCTGCTTATTTCACGGTTTGGTCTTCTGCCTTGTCTCCTCCAGCACACATTTTCCAACCCAAGACAACTTTAGATGCCTAGATTTAGTTTGCCGTTGGTTGGTTGGTTGATTGATTTGGTTTCTGGAGTTTTAAAAGGCTGTTCCTTATTTCCTATTTGTTTGCTAGGAAAATAAATGGAAGTTGAGATCGTAATAAGTGTTCACAGGGAACTACAGTTTACATGGTCTCAACTCTGTGGAATCGCCAGATTTAATTTAAAGTCCTGCCAGATTTCAAGTGAGAATGCCCACATTTCGAGAGATTCTCAGTCTCCTGTTTTAAAACCTGTCCTCTCCTGGCAGGCCATCCATAGTGTCCGAATTCTGGGTCGGAAGACGTTATTCCAGGCAAAAGCCTGGTGAGACCTACCTTTCAGAACACGGCCGCTTGTTTTTGTAGGTCGGCATCCTCGACGTGGACCTGTGTGGCCCCAGCATTCCTCGCATGCTCAGTGTGCAGGACCGAGATGTTCACCAGTGTGACAGTGGCTGGGTGCCAGTCTTCGTGGACCAGGACAAAAGCATTGCTCTCATGTCCATCGGCTTCCTTCTGGAGAAGCCGGATGACGCCGTGGTGTGGAGAGGACCAAAGAAAAATGGTACGGCATGCTTCAGCCGCCCCCTTTCAAAGCAAGTACGGGTAGTCCTCAACCTGTGACCGCAGCTGAGCCCAAGTTTTCTGTTGCTCTAAGCGAGTCACCTGTTAAGTGTGTTTTGCACCATTTTACAACCTTTCTTGACACAATTGTGTTAAGTGAATCCCTGCAGCTGCTAAATTAGTAACACGGTTGTTAAGTAAATCTGGATTCCTCATGGACTTTGCTTGTCAGGTCACAAAAGGGGATCATACATGACCCCAGGGCACTGCAACTGTCCTAAATGTGAGTCAGTTGCCAAGCATCTGAATTTTGATCACCTGACCCTGGGGATGCGGCAATTGGTCATAAGTGTGGAAAAAGAGTCATAAGTCACTTTTTTTCGGCGATGTTGTAACTTGGAACAGTCATTAAATGAACTACTGTAAATCGAGGACTCCCTGTATCACTTGGGTGATGAGCTATGGAAAGGCGCCTCTCACACTCGTTCTCAGTGATCCTCATTTGCAATATTGTTATGTTTATAGCTTTAATAAAGCAATTCATCGCCGACGTGGCCTGGGGAGAACTTGATTTCTTGATTGTGGACACGCCTCCTGGGACTTCCGATGAGCACATCTCCACAGTGGAATCCCTCCGGCCTTTTCAACCTCTTGGGGCAGTTTTGGTGACCACACCTCAGGTAAGAGGCACTCCCCCACTACTGGGCTTTGGATGTTCTGCTAGGCCTCTTGGGTCACATCACCAGTATCCCTGCACACTTTGCCTGAATACCCAGAAGTGGATCTCCCCAGATTTGGACATTCTGCATTTTGTTTTGCAAGACTCAGAATAGAAGACGATACACACACACACACACACACACACACACACGTTTTTTTTTCCAGTGCATCTGATGGAGCAGCATACGGAGTGGTGCGGTGGCCTAGAGGTGGTGCTCTCACCTCACAATCAGGGGGCTGTGAGTTCGATCCTAGGTGGAGACGGATATTTCTCTCTCTAGGACCGCTGAGAATATATCTGATGGGGGGGGGGGAAACTCCGCAATGGGAAGGGCATCCGGCCAGCAAACACCCAGCTCCGTTCAGTTGCCCTGACTCCACCCCAATGCAAGGGATTATGGGGTCGTTAAAGGAAGAGGACCGACTGGAGCAGCATGCAGATTTCAAGGCAGGGGATGGTGGCCTCTGAAATCAGAGGATGCACTCGCTGCCTGTTAACTAACCCATCGCGCTAAACTCTGATGGATGCAGTTAATCCCAGTTGGCTGTGTTCAGTCAGTTGGCTTGATTCAAACCCAAACAAACTAGATTTACATGACATGTGGGACGCCAGAAGTTTATCTGGGTGATCTTGACAGACACAATCGCGAATGCCACAATTCGCCCCACCTCTCCTTGATATGCTGTGCTTTTGGAACGGCTGAATCCAAATCTTTCTGCCATTCCAATGTGCTACATGAAGCTCTGGCAAAGCTCACTGTCTGGATAACTTCCCTTCCAAGAGGATCCTTTAGAGGAGACGTTCCAGCGTAGCTTCCAAGGGTGGCTGACGAGTGATCATTTATAACGAAAGCGGTTCATGCTTCGGACCTTTTCCCCTTAACTGAGTTGTTTCTTTTTTTTTTCCCCTTCCTGTAGGCAGTGGCAGTGGGAGACGTAAGGCGAGAACTGACATTCTGCAAGAAAACCGGCCTGCGCATCCTTGGGATTGTGGAGAACATGAGCGGCTTCGTTTGTCCCCATTGCTCGGTGAGAGTCGGGTGCCAAGTCTAGTTTGGACCGTGGATCTAATTGCTGGAATTAGTGACAGCTACACGTCTACGGAGATTCTCCAGTCGTCCAGATCATGGTTGTTCCGAGGGTGCTTTTTTTTTTTTTTTCAAGAGGCAACTGGATTTTCTGGTTTTCCTTTGAAGACGTTTCGCTTCTCATCCAACAAGCTTCTTCAGTTCTGACTGGATGGTGGGGAATGGATTCAGAACTGAAGAAGCTTCTTGGATGAGAAGCGAAACGTCTTCAAAGGAAAACCAGAAAGTCCAGTTGCCTCTTGAAAAAAATACCTTTGGGACTAGTGACATCTATAAGAATTTCTAAACCTGAGGACAGAAGGAAAGATAGAATTGCTTCCCATGGTGCTTGGGTATAGTTAATTGCTCTCCCGTCCCTTAACCAGACTGAATTATATGCAGGGGAAGCTTCTTTTAATCCAGGGCAGCTTTTTGACTAGAGATGTGAAGACCTGAAAAATTAAATCAGGACAAAATGTGAAAACCTGAGCTTCCACCCAACAAGTCTCTTGAGTTTTCTTGCCCTTGCCTTTTTCTTCCAAAGACTTGAGAGTGTATGACTGGTCAAAGACCCCCTAGCTGGCTCTATGCTTAAGAGGGATTAGAATTCACCTCTCCTGGTTTCAAGCCTGATGCTTTAACCACTACACCAAACTTCCTCTCCAAAAGCAGCAGGAGCTGAAAAGTTAAACCCTTGCTTTTAAAGACTTGAAGTTGTATTTTGATGGCCAGAACTCTGTAAATGATGCGTATCCTTGGCTTGAACTTAAACTGGACTAGAGCGGAGTAACTTCTCAGTTGCAGTTGCTAGGAAACTCTGAGAGGGTCTTTTTGTGGCATCCAGGAATGGATCCAGCTGTCCTTTGCAGCAACCCTCTTGCACTTAGGAAAAGAAGGCATAACTACATGTGTGCAGAATGATCATTCTGTTTTCCAGCAGCCACCTTCCTTCTTACAAACAGAACCTTTGTTGTCACCTGCCTTTATAACAAAGTTTTCTATCCTTCCAGGAATGCACAAATATTTTCTCCAAAGGAGGTGGAGAAGAACTGGCCAAACATGCAGGTGTCCCATTCCTGGGTGAGTATTTTCTCTCTGAATACTAACTAGTAACTAGCAGACATAACTGCAAACTCCACTACCCAAGGTTGTCTCTGTGGAGAAGAGTCATATTTTTAACATCATATTGTCCAACCAGCAATCGGTTACCTTGAAATTTATCCTAGAATTGCAGCTGGAGAATACAGATTTCAACGGGCCATTTGTGTGTTTTTATGTAACTTTCACACAGCACGCCAATATAATAATGTGGTGTCTTTGGTTTTATCTTAGCAAGTTGCACGGACGTAACCATGGTGGTTTATTGTTTAGCTTACTTTGCAAACCCTGCCAGCTGTGACTTCTAGAAAACCATGCTTAAAGCCAGCCCTAACTTAGCAAATAACATCTAAACCAGGTCAAACAGGAGATGTAGACCAACAACCAGAGCATCCGAAATGAAAAAAGTGACATATTAATGTTCCTTTGGAGAATGGAAAGAAGAAAAGCATGGTTCACATTGGTATTCTCCTTTCAACAGGCTGCGTCCCTCTGGATCCACAACTTACCAAAAGTTTGGAAGAAGGCGGAGACTTCCTCCAGGAATTTCCCAAGAGTTTAGCCTTCTCGGCATTGACAGATATTGCCCAGCATCTTTTGGCTGAGGCCTCCACCTGTAGCTCCTGAGGCAGCAACCAAGAGCGGAGCTCCTGACGGCTAACGTCTCCTCGTTGCTCAAGCAGAAATGAATGAATCTGACCAGGAAGTGGGAGAACGTCTTTGGAGAGCAACAAACTGCACCAGCAGACTTCAGCGGAGCAAATCATGATCCCTGAAATGGGTGTTGGTGCATTCTTCCCCTGGCAAATGGGGGACCCGCTGTGTGCTTTGGAGTGATGCAGTTAACTTAAGTCAGCCCTTCAGTTATTTCAATTTCACCCATGATGAACCCTGGTCCAATGTGGTACTGTATTACACATGAGATACATGTTTCTGAGAGAGAGAGAGAGAGAGAGAGAGAGAGAGAGAGAGACAGACAGACAGACACACACACACACACACACACACACACACTGATAAAACTGGGTGCTTACATTCTAGAATTCTCTGTCACCATCCAGTGAAGCTTTTAAAATTGGTGCATGTCAGTGAACAATCAGTGAAACTCAAAGCTGGCATTCAATTTTGCAGAATTGATCATGACTCAGGATTTTTTTAAATAACTGAATTATGTATTAAATAGTTGTCAACTGCAATCAAGGCTTGTGCATGTGTATTCTGCTTTATTTTTCATATACAAGTAACCTGTGTCGGTGCTGTCTAAGAGGTATTCTATATATACAGTGCTAAGTTCAGATTGTACAACAGGAGAACTTCCCTTAGGTAATAATTTAGAAAACCACAACAGCCTGATTTCACTGTATAGGAATTATCGAGAAATGTATTTGTGGATTCTTTAAAAAGGATACTTACCTTTTGTCTCTTATCTTAAGCGTCTCACTTCCACATTCTGCATATTTATGTTGTGCTGTTGTTTGTCTCTTACAAAACAGAGATAAAACTGTCCAGGAAGACATACTGCTGTAACTTATCCCATGACAGAAAACCTTTAATTTTCACAAAGGAATCCTGAAATGTTTTCATTTTCTAGCTTCTATGATAGCAAAAGGGGGAAATCCCTATTTTTTCCTCTTAATTTCCATCAGGATGAAAGCAAGCGCTAGAAACTTTATGACAGAACTGAGGCAGAGGCTCCAAGAGGACAAGGAAAAAGGACCCGTGAGTGGCGAGGACACAAGAAACTCTAGTAAAAATGGAAATGCTGGTAAATTAAGGTTAGGATACTTCAAGGAAATACAAGAACACTCTAGAAGGGGGTCTTGGGATCCAGAACTTAACTGAGTACATGATCTTCTGCTTTTCCCAATTGGATATACATCTACATGTTTCAAACTATTTCCCTGTAAATCATGTGAACACGACAGAGTGAAACTACTCAATGGCAGTGTTTGCATAATAAACTTAATCAGGTTAATTTACAAACACAGTAATGGCTCCATTTGCTCAATATACTAAATGTGGTTAAGGTGTTTCCTTTTTCTTTTCTGTCTAAGGGTGTTCTGTGAACTCAGCAATGAACAAGTTTGCTTCTTTAGTTTCAACTTTGTTTCTCCTGCACGACAATACCTTGAGAGAGGTTGTTGGCTTAGTTAACAAGCCCAACCCTAAATTTAAAGGATTCTCAGCTAAGTTGTGTTCCTGAGACCCTAGTTGACATCAGCAGTCTCCAGATATAACATTTCCCCTCATTCTTCTCACCAGAAAATAGTTTTGGTGTAATATTCCACAATGCACCAAAACAAATTCTTTGTGTGTCCAGTCACACTTGGCCAATAAAGACTTCTATCTATGCTCCAAGATGTTTTCAAGGTTTTTCGGGCTGCAACAACCTGTTCACAAAATTCTCAGGACTCCTCTCAAGAGGCAAAGCTCTAGTGATAGAAAATTGGCAATAAAGTTGTGTTGCTTGTAATTTAATTCGTATATCAAAATTAGTTGAATTTCTTTTTCCTCCCGTTGGAGCCTATCAAGTTATTGCAGAACCCAGTTTGAAAAAAAAAACCTGTTTCCAAGTGATAAGTCGGCATTATGAGAAAACAGCAGGTCAACATCCAGGGGTGGGATTCTACCAGTTCGCACCTATTCGCTAGAACCGGTTGTTAACCTTCTAAGCAGTTTGGAGAACCGGTTGTTAGAAGAAATTACTGGGCTAATCCTGTAAGGAAGGCAGGAAGGAAACATTCTGGTGTTGCTTACAGAAGCTGCCTCTCCATTAACCTTTTTTACACTCTTGGCAGGACTAGACTTCCTGTCTCTGAAACGTCTCTGGAGTTTTTTTCCCCTCCTTTGCTGCTACTTTGCTTGTGTGGATTGACCATTCAAAGTTACAATGGCACTGAAAAAAGTGACTTATGACCATTTTTTTAGGAATGCAGCATTCCCCACAATCATGAGAGGCCAGGCGAGGAGATGCGTGCCTCGATGTGAGTGATATTGAGTTGGCCACGCCCACCCAGTCACATGACCACCAAGCCACGCCCACCACCTAAGCCACGCCCAAAGAACCAGTTGTTAAAAATTTGAATTCCACCCCTGTCAACATCCATATTCCCCACCCAACTGCAGAGCCAATAGAAAAAAAATACTTTATAAAGTGGGGAAGGAGGAAAAGGAAATATTAACCAACTTGCTGGAATATTTGAGTCCTAAAGGCTTAAATATATTTAAGGAAGTTGCAGTTGTTGCCACTCTGTGATTCAGAACATTATTTGATACTCACTATTTTCCTTAATGAATTTTCCTAAATGTTAGGGTATTTCTCCATTAAATCAAACCTGACTGGGTGATTGAAGGAAGGAAGTCTATGCAGATTTTGTGGAAACAATATACAAAGTTTGTCACCTTCTGAATTGCTTAACTTCCCAGTCTGATCTACAACTCTAGAAACTCCCAAGCAAGCACTAAAAAAAAGTCTGGTCTGACAGTGTGTTTGAAACCAGCCACTTGTAATCGTCCTTTGTGTGATGATTAAGGACACTCTAAAGTTGTGCTTGCTTCCTGATAGCTTCATAAGTCCAAACCCATAGCAGGTTTGAGTTTGTACTGTTCCTTAGAAAGGAGAAAAGTTCCTTAGAGAAAAAGTTGCGTGGAAAGCAAGATGGTCAAACACTTCAACAGTCCACAAAATGGTCTTCTGGAATATCTCGTAGATCAAGTCCTACCACTTCTGCTGGGCTAAGGCAAGTGATATTGTTGTAGGTATATTCAGGGGCTTCTCCTTCTGTGATGGACTGCGTGTACCGCAGAACCACACTGGGTTGCTGCAGGGCGAAGTCTCGGAGGGCCTTGAGCGAGCAGTTACATGCCCATTTGTTCCCTTCCAGCCACAGCTGAACCAGGGTAGGCGAGGGGCCGAGCCAATCCACCGAGAAGGTTCTCAGAGAGTTGTTCCTGATGTTCAGATAGGTCAACCTCGAGAAAGATGCAAAGACGCCGCTGTCCAGCGTCTCCAAGAAGTTGTGGGAGAGGTCGAGCCAGGAGAGACGCAACAACGGGGCGAAGGCTTCGGGAGAGACGTCCACCAGCTGATTGAAGGAAAGGAGGAGATATTCAAGGCTCCTCAGGCCTGCGAACTGATTTGGGGAGAGGCTTCTCAGCCGGTTGTGTTTGAGGTCCAGATCGAGGAGCTCGTGTAAGTCGTTCAAGCTGTGGTCTTCGATGACGGAGATGGTGTTGAATCGCAGAAAGAGCCTCCGCAGGCTGGAGAGGTCAGAGAACATTCGCGGTCTGATCCTTGTGAGGCAGCAGTTTTCCAGGTGGAGGCTGTGGAGTCGGCTCAGACCCCTGAAAGTGAAATCGGGGAAGGTCGTAAGGCAGTTCCCCGATAGGTTCATCACCGCCACGTTGGAAAGGCCAAGGAAAGCCCCAGGCCTGATCTCCTGGATCTGGTTGTCGTTCAGCGTCAGAACTTCCAGCTGACCCAATTTATCGAAGCTCTTTTCAAGCAAGGTGCGAATCTTATTGTTGCCTAGCTGTAACTCTTCCAGGAACTGCAGGTCTTTGAAAGTCCTGGGGCTCAAACTAGGGATGGAGTTGCTGGAGAGGCGCAAGACGTGAAGGCTGGAAAGACCCAGGAAAGTGTCTTCAAAAAGCGTGGCGAGGCGGTTGTGGGAGAGATCCAACCACCTCAGAGACTTCATGCCCACAAAGGCCCGCGGAGCGATGGCGTTGATCTGGTTCTGGTTCAAGTAAAGTTTCAGCAGCTTTTGGAGCTTCGTGAAGATGTTCCCTTTGATGCCCTTGAGGGAATTCCAGCTCAGATCCAGTTCTCGCAACTCGCTGAGACTGTAGAACAACTGGTGCTGGAGATAGTGCAGCTTGTTCCCAGCCAGGACCATCTCCCTTAAATTGGGTAGGTCATGAAAGACTTTGTCTGGCAGGACCACCAGGGAGTTCCACCCTAGATTCAGGTACCAGAGGTTGGAAAGCCCAGCAAAGACCCCTTCTTCGATCTTGTTGAACTGGTTGTTGTTGAGGCGCAAGGAAGCCAGGTTCTGAAGGTGGAGGAAGATATTGGGTGCCAGCGACTTCAGCCGATTACGCTCCAGGAGCAAAGAGTACAGTCCTTCCAAACCATGGAAGGCATGTTGTTCAATCCCCGATAACTGACTGCCCTGAAGGTTAAGAAATTCCAGGTTGGAGAGGTTCCTGAAAGCAAGAGCTTGCAAGGTTGTGAAATTGTTCCCATCCAGCCACAACATCCTTGTACTCCGGGGCACATCCTCAGGCAAGGCAGTGAGGTTCCGTGCGCTACAGTAGACACTCAGATCATCGCAGTCGTCAAAGCTACAAGCGCATAAGCTGGGGCATTTCTGACTTTCAGGATTTGGGCATTCTTTGAGCGTTCTTGCTTCAGGATGCAGAGACATTGTCACCAATGCCCACATCAGTGTCAACATGGACGCTGCTCCTGTTGGATAATTAAAAGAAGAAGGAGAAGAAAATAAGAAAGCTGACAAAACTGAGACAAAGAAGCAGCAGAGGCGTAGAATGTGGCGTGAAGAATTTTTAGCACATCTCAAGAACGGGGTCGTTGTAAGGAGGCAACTATCAGATCAGTAGGGTGAGGGCCACATCTCAAGAAGCGGGCATGGCTTCTTTTGAGAAATCCCTAGCCTTGGCCTTCCCTGCCACCACCTCCAACTTCACAAGCAACACTCAGAAAAAGGGAAGGCAGAACAACCTCCTTGGGCTCTCTCTTCTCTTGCTGAATTAGGATGGGAATAGGGCTCCCAAGGAGAAGGCAATGGAAACGAGGAAGCACACAAAAATCACAGCAGCTCAGCGGTCCCTTAAGAGCGGTCAATCAGTAGGCTCAATACTCACTCTGTCCTAGCGAATCTAGCACAGGGGTGTCAAACTTGATTTCATGAAGGGCTGCATCAGGTTGTGTTTGACCTCAGGGGGGCAGGGGCAGCTCGACCCTCGTGTGTGGGGAGGCATCTGTGGTGGCCAAGTGCCAAGGCAGGAGTTCCTTCAGACATTCCCTCCCTCTCAGTGTAATATTCCCTTCCTTCCTTCCTTCCTTCCTTCCTTCCTTCCTTCCTTCCTTCCTTCCTTCCTTCCTTTCCTTCCTTCCTTCCTTCCTTTTCCTTCCCTCTTCATTCTTTCTTCTTCCTTCCTTCTTCCTTCCCTCTTCCTTCCTTCTCTTTTTCCTTTTCCCTTCCTTCCTTCCTTTTTCCTTCCCTCTTCCTTCCTTCCTTCTTTTTCCTTCTCCCTTCCTTCCTTCTTTTTCCTTCCTTCATTCTTTTTTCCTTCCTTCCTTCTCTTTTTCCTTCTCCCTCCCTCCCTCCCTTCCTTTTTCCTTCCCTCTCCCTCCCTTCCTTCCTTCCTTTTCCTTCCTTCATTCTTTCTTCTTACTTCTTTTTCCTTCTCCTTTCCTTCCTTCCTTTTTCCTTCCGTCTCCCTTCCTTCCTTTTTCCTTCCCTCTCCCTTCCTTCCTTCCTTCCTTCCTTTCTTCCTTCTTTTTCCTTCCCTCTTCATTCTCCTTTCTTCTTCCTTCCCCTCTTTCCTTCTTTTTCCTTCCTTGCTCTTTTCCCATCTTTCCTTCTTTTTTTTTCATCTTTCCTTTCTCCTTTCCTGTCTCTTCTTGCATGCTCAAATGGAAAAGAAGAAACATTTCTCATTTTGTTTTGTTTTTAGTTTGTTTGGCTAGCCCCTCTCCCAGCAGAAACGGAGTCCCCCCAAGGTCCCATTTTCAGCTGTGATGGTCTCCTGCAGCCCTCTGCCAGTGAAAATGGAACTTGCACCCCAAACCCTCCCGAACTCTGGCAGAGACACCACGGGCCAGTCCTTTGCTGTTTCCAGGGTGGTCCTGCAGGCCCGATCTAAGCACCCCGTAGTCTGGTTCTGGCCCACGGGCCTTGAGTTTGACACCCCTGATCTAGCACAATGGTCTATACAGTCCATCTTCCCTTCAGACCTCAGGACAGAGAAACAGGTAGATGTTTCATGCTGTGACAGCCTCATGAAGAAGGTCTTACATGAGGTTCATACCCTCACCCTCTTTACACATGGGATACACACAGTGTATAATCCCATGTTCAATTCTCAGTAGAGCATTTGAGCCCTGTGGAATTACATCTGGCTGCCCCTGTCTGATGAATCTCAAAGGAGATGAAGTGAATGGCATGATGTCTCCTGGTGCTCAGCGTAACGGGAAACAACAACAGGAGACTCACAACAGCAATTGTGGACACCCTTGTTTGCAGGGAAGCTGCCCTTCTAGAAGGAAGCAGTGAGATTTTGCACATGCGTACGATCGTTTAAAACATACAGCCAATAAGAAATATTGAGGGTCCCCAACTCATTCCTCCAAAGTGATCTAGTTAAAGAATCATAAATAAAACCTTACTTGGCATTTCCTGCAATGACTACTATTTAAAATGAGTCCCGTGTTACATTAAAAAAAAAAAAAAAAGTTAAAGTACTGAAGGCTGGAAACTCAACATAAACAATGAACCTGTTTTTTATTTATTTATTTAATGGGACACAATTAGAGAAACAATGAGGGCTGGAATTAAATCCCACCTATTTTCGCTCCTTCGCGCATGCAAAGGGTTCTCACATAAATATGTTACTGTCCCCATGTGATTTGTCTGAAAGTTATCAGTGTGACGGGGCGAAGAAGAGACTTTTAACCCGAAGGCATAAGGATAGTTTAAGGTCAAGGTAGATTTGGCAGAGAAAGGTTGCAGCGATTCGATAGTTCTCCTATACCGCCAAATATACTTAGAAAACACAAGCAACCTTTTTACGGAGAACTAGTTTGGTATAGTGTTTAAGGGCACAAGGTGGGGAACCATGAGTTCTAGTCCTTCCTTAGGCACAAATTCAGTTGGGTAACTTTGGGCAACCCTCATCTCTCTTTGTCCTGGGAAGAAGAAGGCGAGGAGGGCAAAAACACTTCTGAAAAAACAAGTCCCCCCCCCAAAATTGGAAGGACTCATCAGGAATGAAATAGCAATTAAAGAAAAAGAACAAACTGAATATTAGATGATATGGAAATTATTTGATCAATGGCTGGAAAAGAAAAATGGAAATTACAAAATAAGTAAATGAACGTAGAAGATCTATATAGAGAACATATAATAATATATAAAAATAGAGGGGAAGGAATTAGGAAGAGGGTGGTTGCAACGATAAGATATATTGTGTATAGTAGTTTAGGATAAGAATGGAATGCAATTATTGTTGTGATGGTAAGGAAACTGTATTAACCAATAATATGGCACATTTGTACCCAGCCGACACACTCTTTAAAGAAAATATGGAATGTTTGTAAAAATAAAAAATTTAAAAAGAGAGGAATGAAATAGTCATAGTGGGTGCAATCTAATGCATTTAAAACTGAGTTAAAATGACAAATAAATGGTTTTTCAGACAGTACTTAATAGAAGTTACATTTTTACCAGCCGGTAAAGAAGCTGCTTTAGTTTTATTTGACTTAGATGCTGCCTGAAGCCAAATAAACTCTGGGTTAACTTACAAGATAAAAAAACCAAAATAACAAATATACAATATTTTTCTTTTTTTTAAAAAAAACAAATGTTTAATATGTGCCAGGTAACACACTAAGGCAATCATTTGGACCGAGGGTGTTGCTGTCAAATGGCTATATCACTGGCAACATCATCCCAATCTGAAAAGACCATCATTTCGAAAATAAATTTAAAAAAAATCAAGGCATATAGCAATAGATTCCAGTGTCCATAAGCCCAGAATAGAAGCTTCTGTGGACATGAACATTATGGCCATGAACACCGGTAGCCATTCATGTCCAAGCTATGGATGTGCATGTAAGGGGGCAAAACGCACATGTAACATGCTTTGGATGTAATGGCAATTGGCAGAAACATTTCAGAAGGCTAGGAATACTGAAACGGCATGAAAGAGAATGGGGGAAATTGATAAAATTATCTACCCTTACCTTCCATTCAAAAAAAATTCTCTGCTGGACCCAAAAGAAAGAAGTAATGGATGCAATCCATTTAAAGTGGAGTTTTTCAAACTTTAACAAAATATCACCTATTTAACTCAGGCACCCTGCAACGCATCCCTCAAAGTTGACCGACATTGGGAAATGTACATTTTGAGAAATAATAATCATAGTCGAAGGTCCTATTTTATAGTTCCCCACCTCTTATGTGTATAAGGAACAGAAGTGCTATGGAGCTCATAGCAATTATTTTCCATACATTATTTCAAGAGCAAGGGTGGGCAACCGATGGCCAAGGTTTTTAGGTGCCCCATAATAGCGAAGAATTAAGGAAATTGTGAAGGTTTCCTATGAAAAAGATTTTAACATCTCCATAGGCAAGAGAATGTCTGTACATTATGAGAATATCTATAACTAGTATTTTAATTCCATGCAGGTCAATATGGCATGACGACATAAGAAGGATATGGTTTTGTTTGAGTTGTGTTGCTTGCCTTCCCGTTTCCCTTTTGGTCAAATCACCCCTCAAGAAGTTGAGCAAAAATCGAGCAGCTTCCTGTGTCTGTATCATATATACAGTGTATATATGTGTATATATACAGTGTATATATGATTGCACTTGCACTGGCTGCTTGCACTGGCACGAAGCCGAAAGCACCAGCCTGAGGATGGTGAGTGCGACCTCGCCGAAACGTCGCCAAGATACTCTTAATCTTACACGGGAAAAGAACTGAACACACCTAGACCTACATACCTGTACCCGTGAAAATCTACGAAAACATATATGTGTGTGTGTGTGTGTGTGTGTATGTATGTATTTATGTATGTATGTATGTATTTATCTGCAAGTTTTTTATTTTAAAACCAAGCCTGGATTTATATACGTCCATTAAAGGTAGATTCAAATAGGTATTTAAATATTGAGGAACAAAGTTTCATTCTTGTTTTGGTTTGTTCATTGTTTATCTTGGGTTAAGTATATCCAGAAACAAGAGTTGGGTACACAATGAAAAAGCAATAAGAGCCCCAAATGCTCTCATTGTCTTCTCTGTATTAAATACTGTATATCTAAAACATATGCAACTCTTCTGCCATTTGTCAGAAATGGTGTAGGGTCTCCTGCTTGGGCAGCGGGGGGGGGGGGGGGGGGGGGGGTGGAGGACCCCCAAGGGGCCTTCCCCCCCTGCTTACTTGTTATCGGTTATACCTGTTTCAGTTTTGCTCTAAGATCACATTCCTCTTCTTTCGCTAACCTGTTGCTCCTGCCCATTGCTACAAAACTTTTAAGCAGTTTTGCAATCTTTTCAAACAACCACAGGATAAAGGGGACACATTGTTCAAGATCTCCCCCACCCCGGGTTTGTCCTTTTTCCTGATCTTTGTAACTGGCAACCCACAGCAGCAGGTTAAAGCTAGGACCGGATCCCACTCCCAAAAAAGCTGCACGAATATTGTGCTGCAACCCAAACCGTGGAATATGCTTTACCTTAGATACCCGTAGGGAATGAAGGAAAACCGCAGGAACGAACAGGCGAATCCTGCAAAAGTTTTTCCTCTTTTTTCCCCCCACAACAGCCCATTTTCTGTGGCAGACTTGGTAGGACTGGCCATGCAGAAGGAAAACCAAAACACATTTTTCAAGAAGGGAAACAAAAATAGTTCCTACTTACCTTTGCCCATTCTGGTTGCTCTCAGGCTCAAGTGTGAAAAGTCGAAGGTCTACGAGCAACCTCAGGTAATGCTGTCCCCTGTGTTTCCACCCCTAGAGCAGTTCAGCAGCTACCACCCTGTGGCTTGTCCAGCTATGCTTTTAACCCATCGTTTACTGGCATGGAGCACTCACTGTCTGCCTTCAAGAGAGCAACCTGGGCAATGCTTATTATCTCTTGGGAAGGGCACAATGGTTGAAGGAGGTCAAGTCTCTCTGGGGTGGCCTTGGCAGGGGTTTCCCCAAGCCATAGGGTTGGCCCTTGTAATAGTTTAAATGCCACTTTAAAGTTACAACTCCACTTTTAAAAAAAACTATAAGTGCATTTGATTAAAACAACAACAACCCCAGATCTCTGAATTAATCCAGCTTCATTCTAACTCTAGCCTGCTGAGACAGCCAAGTTGAACTTTCAGGTTGATCTTTTCAATACGAGGTCAAAGGGAATGGCGGGAGGGGTGTGAGGGGAGAAGGAAGCCTGGAGAGATGTTAGACGTGGCTTCTGGGTTTCCCAGAGGCCTGATTGGGGCAGGACGTGGAATGCCCGTTGGCCTCACCCAGATAGGATCTTATGGCTGTGAGTCGTAGGGATGAATCCGACAGAGAGATATTGGTCTCCAACAATCAAGGAGAGAAGAGACTGCCTTGTATTAATTCTCCTTGGGGGGGAGGGGGTGGATAGGTATGAATAGAATGAAGATGGGGGTCCTCCTTAAAGATTCTTCTGGGAGGGGCTGGGCCATATCTCTGCCCTTGGTTTGCAAAAGGCCCTGTGGTTTAACCCCCACCTTTCCAGATAGGTTTGCAAAAGACATGGAAGGTCTAAGTGCACCATGGTGCCTACCATCCCTGTCCTACTGTCCCCATTTGTTCGTACCTATTTCCTGTATTCTTACTCATGTTTTATACTTATACCTATTATCTTGTAAGCGATTGACAAATCGAATAAATAAAATTAAAAAAATAAAATAAATAAGGACACGAGAGCCTGCCATTGGTCAATGGGGCCAACGTTAAGAAGCCAGGTTGAATGCCTAGACTACAAAATAAAACTAGGGAGTAGATGCCGGTGCGTATCGTACCCCTTAAGTGATTCCCTATCCTACTAGCTGGAGTGACTATGACAGGTAGGGGAAGCCTAGAAGTGGACTGTAGTACTCCCTGCTACTGGAGATGCTGGCTGGGACTTCAGCTGTGTCTTCTGGTTAAACGAATCACTCCACGAGGGGTCTTTGGTGCTCGCTGGGCTTGGTTGTTTTCTGGCAGACGTTTCATTACCCAGACCAGGTAACATCATCAGTGCTAGTAAGGAGTGGGGTTTGCTCTCAGTTTATATTCTAGTGGGTTGTCCTGGGGTAGTCTTGGAGGGTCTTTGGTTGGGCTGTTTACTGTTGGCTTGTTTGGCAGTTCCTTGATGGAAACATCTACAAGAAAACAACCAAACTCAAAAGAGAGCCCTAGGGTCTGTTCATTTCAACCCTGAGCTTCAAATATTCTCCTCTATTGGAATCACTACCTACAAACCAGATATATATCCCAGTTTTAAAAACTTTTTGAAAAAGAGCAATTTGAGTTCCTAATTCTTACCAGGCTAATTACAGTCCTTAACTGAACTTTTTGTAGCCTTTTTTGTAGCTCAAAGATTGCCACATCCTTTTCCTTACTAATTAACTATTTAAAAGGGGGTACAATTGTTAGGTTCCACTTCTAGTGGTAGCAAGAAGTCAAACATCAACCCCTTGGCCACTATTAGGAGGAAAGGCAAATTGTTCTGGCCTTGTTCTTCCTATAGTATGGATCTCTGATTTCATCCTGCTTCCTAAGGATTTCTAAGGATGATGAAGAAGAACAAGTGGATATACCTGTTCCCTGTTAGATGTCCTGCTGAGCTGCATATGCAGCCAACGACTAACAAGATGTCATTCAAACAGTTGTCCATCCAGCTGCTAAACAAGCCACAGAGCAAGTTTGTTTTGGCCATGGTGGAAAAAGTTGAACAGAATAATCTACTTGCCTGAGGACACCAGAATTTAACCCACAATTCTTATATGGCTTACTATGTTGTGGATACATGGGCCATGATCTAACTTCATACAAGGCAGTTTCTTTGAGGAGGAAAGATCTAACAAGAAACTATTAATCCAGTTATTACTACTGATCGAAAGGAATATTCACAAAGTTGGAGCGCCATGGAGATGCCTTCTCTGTCTCTGGCTTGGCTTTCCTTTTATATTAGGAGACTGGAGGCTAAAATATATGAAGAGTGGTTGCAGGAATTGGGTATGTCTAGTTTAATGAAAAGAAGAACTAGGGAAGACATGTTATCAGTGTTCCAGTATCTCAGGGGTTGCCACAAAGAAGAGGGAGTCAAACTATTTTCCAAAGCACCTGAGGGCAGGACAAGAAGCAACGGATGGAAACTAAATAAGGAGAGAAGCAACTTAGAACTAAGGAGACATTTCCTGACAGTGAAAACAATTAATTGGTGGAACAACTTGCCTCCAGAAGCTGTGAATGCTCCAACACTGGAAGTTTTTAAGAAGAGATTGGACAATGAAATGTTTTAAGGTTTCCTGCCTAAGCAGGGGGTTGGACTAGAAGACCTCCAAGGTCCCTTCCAATTCTGTTGTTCTATTCTTTATACTTAATATCACAAAAACAGGAATGCAGTGTGTTCAAAATAGGAATGGCTGCTTAAGACAGGAACCCTTGTCAAGACCTTGTTGAAAGGATGCAGGATTCCTCCCTCTTTAATGAAAGATCACCAATTCCTGTATTTGCTTTGACAAAAGGTTTTCAAACATCGAAAATCTCTTTAGAGAAGGTGACATGCATGGAGTTTCAGGACAAAAGGAAGTTTGTGAGAAAAAAAAGAATGGAGAAACATCTTTAATTCTACATGTCTTCCAGAGTTTGTCCTTGCTATCATTCCACATTTCTATTTAATTTAGATTCCCCCCTCCCTCCACTTCTCCTGTCTATTTTAAAGTTCTATTCTTGGAAATTATAGACCAAAAGGGCAAAATGAGAGAGAGACACACACACACATACAATCTCATAGGCGCTAAGTACATATTGACACAATGCTCAGAAACAAAGAGAGAGAGAGAGAGAGAGGAGAGAAAAAAAACCCTGAGTCAGCAGAGACCTTCGAGCCAAGAAAGATAAACCCTGAAATTTCATTAGGCACTTCATTTCTATAGACAGTTATATGGCTACCTGGGGTTATTGTTTTAAAAAACGATGTGCGAGACAGCACCTTTTATCATTAATGAATATTCTCCACGCACTCAATTTTTTACTTATTTTTCAAAAAAAAAAAAAAATGTATATGCTTCCCATCTCGCTCTGAAAAACAACTCTGGGCAATGGAAGCGCCTCCTGACTGCCTTTTGTGGTTTCGGCCGTCACAAAATCCCCGTGTTCGGCAGGAGAAAACGCACATGTCCCACAGACGAAAGAAAGAAAAATAGGGGATAAAATTAGGGGAAAGGAGTGTTGCTTCCATCCTTGTTTGCAGAAGCGGTCAAGATGGTTATAATTTCTGACATGGGATACACGGCATGGAACTTTCAAACCACGGATTTACAGAGATCATTCCCAAAGTTTCACAAACCCCTGAAAAAGGCTTGTCCTTGTAAAAATCTACCCATCCATGATGTTTTAGAGGATGTGGAGAATGTAGAGAATGAAGGCATGCTGCGAGTTCCCACCCTCATACCTACATGGACGCACCTGGATGTGGAACAGGTAAGGGACTGGAATCCAGCTTTTTACGGAAAGCTATGGGCCTGTTCTCCCAGAATAGCTTAGCCTGCCAAGACCACCACAGATGGCCTCATCCGTGACACCACCCAGGAAACCAATTCAAACATTACCGAGGATGGAAGAGTTTACTCATTTACAGGGATCTTTTCCCCCAATACGTGCTGCATTAGGAATGTAAGCTTATTTGGTTATTTACTGGAGTATTGATTTAGTTAGCTTTGTATTATTATTATTTTTTATTGCTGGGTCTTCGATTATGCAAACTGATCAGAGCGGTGTGACTGAGGTAGCATATAAGATCGAATAATAAGGCGGAGCAACCAAAGGTGACAGTTGTGCTTTTAAGCTCTGTGGGCCTCGGTAGGGTGGATTTATGGGACAGCAAGTAACGTCATGCCGCAGAGACACGGATTGCAGACTGAATGCACTGGCATCGTGGTACATGTGATGTCACTGGGACGTCTTGCATGGGTGACGTTCTTAGCTGATTACTTTTGAATTTCCTTCTGTGCCCTTTTTTTTAATTGGTTTCAGATTTTATTGTATTTAAAGGAAATATTTTTTGCATGCCCTACAAAGAGGGCTGGCTTTGGAGTGAGATAAGCAGGTAATCAATAGAGTTGGAAGGAATTAGACAACCCAAGAAAAAAGCTGAAAGGAAATGGAAGCATTGTAAAATCACCTCTACTATCATTTGATTCTGTAGAAGAAGATGAAGTTTGGGCCAGGAGATGAGAATACGTCCAGGAAAAAGGACACGTTAAAGCAGCTAGATGTGTCTGATATCAGTTCCAATAACCCTTAGACAGCATGACCAATGGCTATGCTTATGAACATTGAAATCCAAGTTGGATTAAAGTTCCTTAATAGCTGACCACCAAGCTTGACAGTTATTCCGGTTATTTTAAAAAAAGGGAGGTAGTCCTGACTTTTGTGACCCTAATTGGACCTGCAATTTCACCACTAGGTGGGAAATCACAACTGTGACTGTGCTTTCCAGCTAGAAAGAGACTATTAGGTTTCCCACCTTTTTGTTTACCTCCTAGCCACTTCCTCACTTTTTGGAATGTGCCAGTGCCTGCTTATTGTCTTATATGCATCAAAAGCAATGTGATGCACTTGCAGCCTGAGGTTGGGAGCCATGGAGTGCTATGCAAAGAGCTTACTCCCTTGAAATCCCTTTCTCTCCAATCTCTCTGCTCTGCAAGTAATTTCTATAGGCAAATCTGTCCTTTGACTGACCCTTTTCCCTCACATATCCCCATAGAGCAGAGATTGGAGAGAAAGGGATTTCAAGAGAGTATCGCATGTTATTTTTTTTTTTCAGCACCAGGAATATCTGTATGCTGTTTACAATGGCTAGGAAACAATCTGGAAATATCTTCAGAAAGCCCTGTGGGCAAAGGTGATTCCTGCATAGATTTTTAATTCATCCATCTTACAAGAAGCTGGTTACACACCATTCCAAGTTCTACCTTTGTGTGTGTGTGTGTTTGTGTGTGTGTGTGTGAAATAATTGATTTTTTTTAAATAGAGATATAGGGGAAAGATAATCAACTTTTGCCATGAAATCTATCTCTTAGAGATAGATTATAATGTGGAGCAATCACAATAGTTTGGTAGAAGCTCTGCTATTTTTCTGCAATTTGTAAATGAACCCAGGTGTTATATAAACTCTGGCTCACCTATGCTGAAACTCTTCACCTTTCAGAAGGGAGCAGGCAGTCAAAATCAAATCAGTTTGAGTTAACCCAATGATGGTATGTAAAACTGTCCTAAATCATGTTTCCTAGCAATACACAACTTTGATTTCTAGTGTCATCTTCTCATAATGTGCCACCCTATTTTTTCAATTGCAGTCACTTCCTATTCATTGAAATATCCTGCTCTTGGGAATATATTTTTAAATATTAAACTGAGGTACAGAACAAATTCATTTGGCACTTCTAGCAACGCTCAGAAAGATTTTTGCCTTAAACTCTGGAGAACTTTTGCTAGCATACCTTGATGAGGTGAGTCAAACTTCATTAATTAATTTGCTAACAGGGCAGATTTTAAACCCAAGAAGAACAATACAATTAAGCACAACGAACTCCATTCCCGATTGTAATGCCTTGAACCCCTTCTGTATGATTAGAAGGAAGGCTCCTGAAAATGACTAGCGGGAGGGGAAAACATTCTAAACTTGCTGGGAAGTTGTTATTTTCATTTTAATAAGACCATTCGCATAAATTATCCCTGTTTCCACAGGATCTGCAAAAGAAGAGAAACGAACAGTGGCACATTGAGTAGCAATAGAATAAAATATTCTATATCGTAAGGACTGTCACAGTAGAGTATTAGCTAAGATAATATTATTAGCTAAGGTAATATTAATCTATTAAGAGACATTCAAAGGCTTCAGGTGGGCAACTGAACCACTACCTGGAATGTTATCCTTAAGGTAGTTTTCAAGGGCTGCTGGTGAGACTGGATGAATAGTGGAAACTCCTCCTGCTGTTTGCTGATCGGGACGCCTGAATAAGGTCACTAGCCTACTCCTCCCCTTAAGCCTCAGAAACTGTAGTTTGCTATTAGCTTCTCATTCCTGGTTTGTTTGAAAAAGACTCTTGATTTGGGTGTGATGATAAACCATAGAAGGAGCTTTGCGTTGTCACTCACAGTGGAAAGAAGAGCCAACAGCCAAGACATTGGCAAACAGACAACTTGATTACAATTAGTACTACGTTCTTAGCATCTCGGTTAAAGGCAATCGGAGGGCTCCTTGGTGGTTCTCTGATCTTAGTTGTTTTCTTGCAGTTGTTTCATTACCCAACTAGGTAACGTCATCAGCGCTAGAAGAGAATGGAGTTTGCAGAGGGGAGGAACAGAATTGGGGAATCCTTGGTGTCCTCTGAGCTTAGTTGTTTTCTTGCAGACGTTTCATTACCCAAACTGGGCAACACCCTCAGTGCTAAGAGGAGAGTGTTCAAGGAACCAAGAGCAAACCGCACTCCTTCTGGCACTGATGGTGTTACCTAGTCGGGTAATGAAACGTCAGCGAGAAAACAACCAAGCTCAAAGAGCACCAAAGACCCCTCATTTCAACCCCGAGCTACAGATATTCTCCTTTATTGAAGGCAACCTTCCAATACGGTCATTATATATTTTTAGGGATCTGATCTCCGGAGGTAACGAAACCCAGATAGGTTTGTCCTGAGATGTCCCACCGTGGCACGGAGTAGTAGGGAGTGCATCGTAACATTTCGCTTGAAGGCTGCAATCAGCCTCTGCGGGTGCCCAAAGGGACGGCTTTCCGTTGTAGTTTCTTCTAGGAATTCATCTGTCGGAACAGGCTGTGTTGTCCAATCAGATTAGATAACCATTGTCCAATGTAAAATTGACATTGGCGAGAAGAGAAGCCAACCTTTTATTGAAAACAGGCGTCCTTGTGACTACCTGACTTTCTGAGCAGTGATGGTGTGGGGATGAAAAGTCAGCTATGCAAACAAACATTGGTTCAGGATCAAGGAAAGCGTTGACTTTATACTTGGAATGACCGCATTTAGCCATTTCAAATCCCGGCAAAGCTTTTATTAAGCAAAGAAGTGGACAGAAGGCAGACCTAGATTACTGGTAAAGATAGTCCTTGACTTACCACCATTGATTTAGTCACCGTTTGAAGTTACGACGACATTGAAAACGCTGACGTATGACCATTTTTCACACTTACAACCGTTGCAGCATCCCTGTGGCCACAACAATCCAAATCCAGACACTTGGCAATGGCTCATATTTATGACCCCCGTTGCAGTGTCCCAGGGTCAGGTGATCAACTTTTGTGACCTTCTTGCCGAGCAAAGTCAATGGGGAAGCCAGATTGACTTAGCTGTGGCAAGAAATCATGGTCGTAAATCAAGGACTACCTGTTGCTATGATTTGTAATCAATTAGCAACTTCTTAGTGCTAGTAACAGCTATCTCAACTATTGCTGAGATACAGCCCAACCTGGAAATTTGGATGAGGGGGGAATAATGGCTCTTGTTCTTACAGTCTGTAGAGATTCTCGTCCTTCAGGTCCTGGTTGTCCCAAAGGTGTTTTTCTCAGGAGGCCACGGGACTTTCTTGGGGGTTTTTTTGGAAGATGTTTCGCTTCTTGGAGGAGAAGCGAAACGTCTTCAAAAATGAAAAACAAGTTTTTCAAAAGTTTTTCAAAAGTTTTTCAAAAGTTTTTCAAAAGTTTTTCAAAAGTTTTTCAAAAGTTTTTCAAAAGTTTTTCAAAAGTTTTTCAAAAGTTTTTCAAAAGTTT